GGGTGTAACCGAAAATAATTGAGAAGCACTGCCCTAATTAAAAAACGGCTCTTTTATTTTCCTTTTATATAAACCGGATTCCAAAAAAGTTGGGACACTAAACAAACTGTGAATAAAAACTGAATGCAATGATGTGGAGACGGCAAATGTCAATATTTTATTCGTAATATAACATAGATGACAGATCAAAAGTTTAATCTGAGTAAATGTAACATTTTAAAGGAAAAATATGTTGATTCAAAATTTCACAGTGTCAACAAATCCCCAAAAAGTTGGGACAAGTAGCAATAAGTGGCTGGAAAAAGGAAATTGATCATATAACGAACAGCTGGAAGACCAATTAACATTAATTAGGTCAATTGACAACATGATTGGGTATAAAAAGAGCTTCTCAGAGTGTCAGTGTCTCTCAGAAGCCAAGATGGTAAGAGGATCACCAATTCCACCATTGTTGTGCAGAAAGATAGTGCAGCAATACCAGAATGGTGTTACCCAGCGTAAAATAGCAAAGACGTTTAAGTTATCATCATCAATCGTGCATAACATCATCAAAAGATTCAGAGAATCTGGAACAATCGCTGTGCGTAAGGGTCAAGGCCGTAAAACTCTACTGGATGCTCGTGATCTCCGGGCCCTTAAACGTCACTGCACCTCAAACAGGAATGCCACTGTCAAGGAAATAACAGAATGGGCTCAGGAATACTTCCAGAAAGCATTGTCAGTGAACACAATCCACCGTGCCATCCGCCGTTGCCAGCTGAAACTCTACAGTGCAAAGAGGAAGCCATTTCTAAGCAAGCTCCACAAGCTCAGACGTTTGCACTGGACCAGGGGTCATTTAAAATGGAGTGTGGCAAAATGGAAGACTGTTCTGTGGTCAGATGAGTCATGATTTGAAGTTCTTTATGGAACACTGGGACGCCATGTCATCCGGACCAGAGAGGACAAGGATAGCCCAAGTTGTTATCAATGCTCCGTTCAGAAGCCTGCATCACTGATGGTATGGGGTTGCATGAGCACTTGTGGCATGGGCAGCTTGCATGTCTGGAAAGGCACCATTAATGCAGAGAACTATGTTCAGATTCTAGAACAATATATGCTCCATCTAGACGTCATCTCTTTCAGGGAAGACCCTGCATTTTTCATCACGATAATGCCAGACCACATTCTGCAGCAATCACAACATCATGGCTACGTAGGAGAAGGATCCGGGTACTGAAATGGCCAGCCTGCAGTCCAGATCTTTCATCTATAGAGAACATTTGGTGCATCATAAAGAGGAAAGTGCGACAAAGAAGGCCCAAGACGATTGAACAGTTAGAGGCCTGTATTAGACATGAATGGGAGAGCATTCCTATTTCTAAACTTGAGAAACTGGTCTCCTCTGTCCCCAGACGTCTGTTGAGTGTTGTAAGAAGAAGGGGGGATGCCACACAGTGGTAAAAATGGACTTGGCCCAACTTTTTGGGGATTTGTTGACGCCATGAAATTAGGAAACAACAGATTTTTCCCTCAAAATGATACATTCTCTCAGTTTAAACTTTTGATCTGTGATTTGTGTTCTATTCTGAATAAAATATTAGATGTTGGCACCTCCACATCATTGCATTCAGTTTTTATTCACAATTTGTTTAGTGTCCCAACTTTTTTGGAATCCGGTTTGTATCTTAAATTGTTTTTCTCAGTGAATAAACAGCAAAGCGCTTTTTTTTTGTTTTGGTTTACATGTTTTTGTGTGAACAGGTTCAGATGGAAAAATTTCATGTATCCAAAAATTTGTCAAACTTTGTGAAGGAACAAACTCAAAAACTTCTCAAGTTTATGTTGCTAACAGTAAAACAGTGAAGCTTTAGTTGAATAAGAAGTTGAAGAAATCAAATAAAACACTATATTTGTATCCTGCAACGTTTGCCTGGGAGTTCATAAAGCTGCTGGAATAACGAGGTTCTCATCTTCATGAAGGCAAATGCAACAGGTGGAGGTGGACACGTCGAGCTGGTCCAGAAGGCCATGAAGTCCCTGACCTTCAGGTCTCTCTGCTTCCCTGATATGATCCAAAGCCATGGCATGGACAACCAGGAGGACCTGCCCACCTACTTCTACAGGGACGATGGCTACAGGGTGTGGGAAACCACCAAGAGGTAAGGAGCAACTCTCTTTTAAGTATTTGTGGACTGACACGTAATTTGACTTTTTGAGGAAGTTTTAAAAAGGAAAGCCGCTTGATATCCCCGATTTCAAACGAGTGTGACAAAGTTTCAGAGACAGAGAAGTTAAGGCAGGAACTTCCCCTCGCTGTGACCGCTGTCCCGTTTTCTCTCCTGGCAGCTTCGTCTCCGACGTGGTGAATATTTACTACACCGGCGATGAAAGAGTGAAGGACGACGAGGAAATCCAGGCCTTTGTAAAAGACGTTTGCAGCTTCGGTATGCAGGATTTTGATTATTGTGGTAGGTATACGACACATCTGCATATGCATCCCAACAAACAAAACATAACTTCTATCAGACTTAGTAAAATCCTGCTCAGAGCAGCTGCAGAAAATGACTGAAGGTGTCACTGTTTGAGCCTCCATGTAACATCCTGCGCTTCACCATCATTTATGCAATGATCTTTTTTTTGCAGCATTGCTTGCCAAAGATTTGAGTTTTGTAAGAGTTGAACTTCACTTTGTCAATTCTTGTGTTGCTTTAATCTGCTCTCAGAGTTTCCAAAGTCTGTGAAATCACGTGACGAGCTGACAGAGTACCTGACCGTTGTTATATTTACTGCTTCAGCCCAGCACGCCGCCGTGAACTTCGGCCAGGTAAACTTAAATATTTGGAAATTATGAATGCATGATAAAAACATCATTAATAGAAAATTGGTCATGTATATGAAGGCTATAGAGTATTCAAGCAGAAATCACAAGAAAAACTGAAATATATTCTGTAAGCTTAGGTTTTGTAACTATATATGTTCATTGTTTAGTACGACTGGTGTTCCTGGATACCCAACGCTCCGTCCACCATGAGGAAACCCCCGCCACAGGAAAAGGGATTGGCAAATGTGCAAATGATTATCGAGAGCCTCCCTGACCGTGGGCGCTCCAGCTGGCACCTGGGGGCCGTGTGGGCCCTCAGCCAGTACCAAGAAAATGAGGTATGCAGAGCACAAACTCGTCTGAAGGCAAAGGTTTGAACTTTTACAGTTTAGTTGAGATGCTCCTGAAACATTCAAACAAATCATTTCACCTCCCGAGACCCCAAGCTTGTCTTTGGTGTGCACTTTCTCTGTCTCCAAGGTACACGGGATTAGTAGGACCTAAATACCTAGACTATGATACAGGAAGTAGTTTTAGAAAACACAATGATGTCCTCATATGAGGACAGTAGGTTTACTTTTGCATTTTATATTTTTCTTTGCAAATTTGGGTCAGAAGGTCCGAATTACTCTAAAAACTAAATTTCAGCTTTGTATGAGAAGCGGTTCTCTAAAACAATCAATGTCCTCATGCGAGGACCCAGAGTCTCAGAATGTTAAAAACATATTTAGAGTTTCTAAATGTTGATACTTCAGGTGTTACTTGTTGCACATTATGTTTATACAGATGACAAAGTCTATCAAGTAATCCAGCAAAGTTAAATCAGGTCTTCTGGACGGTTTCTTTTTATTGAAACGTTTCGGCTTTCATCCAAAAGTCTTCATCAGTCCGAGAAGCCACAACAAACTGTCCCATAAGCAGCACCCTCACATAGTGAGCCCACCAGTTTGATGGTGATAAGCTGGTTTCTGGAGTCCACCCTCTCCTCCACCTCGTCGTCTGAGGGAGCCATGGCCAAAGTGGTTCAAAACATCAAAGTCCATGCTCAATAATCCAGGTAGAAAAATCCAACAAAGTCATTGTGGCTCCTTGGACTGATGAAGTCATATGGATGAAAGATGAAATGTTTCAACAAAAAGAAACTGTGTGTCCAGAGGACCCGACTTAACTTTGGTGGATTTTTTTATTTGGATTATTGAGCATGAATTTTGACGTCTATAAAGTTAAATAGCAGCTTGGCTGCTAGAAATCAGTTTGATTTAAATCTATTTTGAGGCCTAAGCTAAGCATGTTTAGCAGTTTATTTTAAACTAAAAGACAACACTTTTTTTTTTTTTACTTTATGCATGCTTCTGTGTACTCTTAACTGTTATAATGCACTTGTCTCAGGTTTCAGAGCTGATTCTGCCTTCATTTAGTTCAAAACACAGCAGCCAAAATCATTATGGAGACTAAAAGGCACACAAAAAAAACATTTATAACAAATATAATAAAGTGCTATGTGTTGTCATCATTGTATGTTGAAATTGGTTTTCTGCATTTAACCCATTGCACTTGGGATACACCCAGGTGGAGCAGTGGGCAGTTTTGTACAAGCGCCCGGGAAGCAATCAGGGATTATGCATCTTGCTCAGAGACAGTCGTGTTCACCTTTTTGTTAGAATACGAATTGTTTAAAAAAATTTTTTTTTTCACCTTTAAAACCCTAAATTCTCCTAAATACAGACTTATTGACCTGTCAAAAAAAATCTGTCCTCCTCCTCCAGTATCTTTCTCTGCCTTCTGCACCTGAACAGAAAACATTTATCCATTTATTGAAATGTTTTTTTGGGGGGGGAAGTCTTTGGGTTGATACTTTCAGACATTTGTTGCTCCTACCAAACAGAGTTTGATTTTTCCTTTGTGCGTTGCAACAAATGTTACTTCTCTCCCTGCAGCTGTACCTGGGCATGTACCCCGATGAGTACTTCATAGAGAAACCAGTCAAGGCAGCCATGGAGAAATTCAGGAAGCAGCTGGCCGAGATAAGCAGCTCCATTAAGAGGAGGAACGAGGGGAAGAAGCTGCCGTACTACAACATGTCTCCAGATAAAATCCCAAACAGTGTCGCTGTTTGAGGGACACAACTCACTCTATAGAAAACAACTCATTCAAGTTGTTTTGCTATTCAGATTTGCTATCGGGAATAAAAGTTAACCTATTTTGTGATGTAACTGTTAAAAATGAATTTAAATTAATTCCACTCATCCTTTGTTTTTTTTTTTATTTTAGATTTCCACAACTTGCTAGGTTGAACATGCATAATAAAGATGTTATTGTGTACTTACTGTTAAAACCCAATATGAACTCATCTTTCCAAAGAGGCCTTTGTTTGAATCTGACCTGGAGTTTTTGAAACAGCTGAACCGATAGTTAATCTCTTCAATGTATCCAAAGGAGCACTTTCACACTCGTTCTCATGGAGATAAAAGAAAAAGCCTTTGTTCACTCAACTGACCTTTGTTTGCAGGAGATGGACAGTCCAGCAACGTCTCCCATGTTAAAAACATTGCATGTTTTAAGCTTAACTAAAATATGCAATTTTTTGAATGCTTATTCATGAAAAGTATGTTTTTACGTAATCTTAAATTAATAATTTGCCTTATTTTTCTCTTTGAAAATGAGACTTTCAAGGCAGAAATAAGGATTTTAGATTAAATTAGAAGTTCCTTTTATGTGGGAAAAAAAACCAAGAGTCAGAACCGCCTTAAACTGCCTTCTGACCTCTGATTGGATGGAAGTTAGCAGGCCCCACCCCTTCTCTCATGGGTAAACCAATCATTCAGTCTGTTTGAACTCGGAGTTGAGTTTCAGTTAAGTTTCACTTCTTGCAGACATCTCATCAGGAAAACCATGAGAAAAAGATGGAGTTTAAAAAGTTAGAATTTTATTTTAACTTTCAAATCAGAATCAGAACCAGCTTTATTGTCATTGCACCGACACGCAGCAAAATTACAGTAGAGCCCGTCTGAGAGAAACACGACAGACATGAGGAGATGGAGGTGACTGAGGCAGCCGGCCTCGAGAGACGCAGCATTTCTTTTTTCAGATAAGGAAAAAGAAACACGAGGGGGAGTGTAGGTGTAAAATAACCAAATCTCGTACTGTGTCCTAGATGGGACAAGTTGCAAAAATATAACCTCGGCACATAAACGGTAACATACTGATGACATCACATTTATGCACGAGGCTGACGAGGGCAGTGAGTTGTCTGTGGAGACTGTCAGAAAGTTCCATAGTCCTGATCAAGGTGGCACAGTGTCTATCAGCCGGCTCAACTCTGACACAGATCCACGGATGTCCTCGGGGGGGGGGGGGGGGGGGGGGGGGGGGGGGGGGGGGG